GCGATAAGCGTCCATTGCCGATAATCCATTGGTCAGCGGACTTTGGCTTCTGTTTTGGGGACTGGGGTCAGTTGGTGAGCATGCACAAGGAGCCAAAGAACACTCGTGTGAGGTTGGCAGCAAACCAAGGTGGTTCTACTCATTCTAGACAGCACAGACTTGGCTGGCGCGGGGCCTATTGTTCAGGGAATTCCCTAAGTTGCCACTCGCTCCACACAGCAACACTGTCAGCTGAATCACAGCAACATCGCTTGTGCCACCTGAATGGCAGGGATGAAGAACTCCAGATGTAGCCACCAATCTTGCAGACAGCCTGAAGAACCATATCCTTGCTTGTTTTCGGTAGACAGAGTTGATCTCTGCGAACAACTATGCCCTAGGGCCCATGGAGCGCCTCTATGCCAGGAGGCCAAATGCATGCCTGGTGGCATTGCTGGTGCTGCCTTGCACAACCTGTTCTTCCATATCCAATACATGCGCACGAATTCCCTTGGCTCTTGCAAGGAACAGCCTGACATCACCATCACCATGCACAGAGTGTGATACTACAATCTGCCTGTAAGTTAGGTGGATCTGCCTCACTCTGTTCCAGAGCACTGGCCAACAGAGCAGACCTGCAGTGCTCTAGTGGCCTTGGAGCAGCCCAGCACACTACATGTTGGGAACCACTTGGCAGAGCACAGCTTGTTTGAAGCTGCAACAGCCCACAATAGCTGCTGCACAACCATGGGTTCCCTGGTCCCAAACACAAGCAATGTTGTGCCGATGCCTGTGTCGATCCCAAATGGGAAAACAATCACAACTTTCACGCAAGCAGCCCCAAATATCCGTGCATGGCAAGACCTTGTGGACAGTTGGAATCCCAAAGCAAGACCAGAGCATGCAGCAGTTACAGTATACACAAGTGTCTCAATTTTGGTCAGCGCACTCCACAGGCACCTGTGGACTCGCGCTTGCACCATTCATTACTGCGAGTTCGAAGGACATTCACCCAACAACAGCTCCGACAACATGCAGACAACGGCCCCACGCCCCAGCACCCGCGAGGCCAGCTGACAAACGTGCACGGCGGTTCAGCACACCACGGCGCCCTCCCCGAGCGGGGGGGGGGGGATCGCCAGAAACCGGAAAGACACACACGCAACCACACCGAGGCGGGTCACCGTCCCGTCCTCATCCCCGATTCCCCAAGCCTAGAAGCCTAGAAGCCTAGCAGCTAGAAGCCTAGAAGCACTTCCTGTGCACGATGGACGGCCCGCTCTCGTCGTACTCCGCCTTGGCGATCCACATCTGCTGGAAGGTCGACAGCGACGCCAAGATGGAGCCGCCGATCCACACGGAGTACTTGCGCTCGGGCGGCGCCACGACCTTGATCTTCATCGACGACGGCGCCAGCGCCGTGAGCTCCTTGCTCATCCTGTCCGCAATCCCCGGGAACATGGTCGTGCCACCCGACAGCACGATGTTCATGTAGAGATCCTTCCGGATGTCCAGGTCGCACCTCATGATAGAGTTGAAGCACGTGTCATGGATGCCCACCGCCTCCCGGCCAATAATGCTGGGGTTGAACAGCACCTCCGGGCACTTAAACCGCTCGGCGCCGATCGTCAGCACCTGGCCGTCCGGTAGCTCGTACGTCTTCTCCAGCGTGGAGCTGGACTCCGCCGTGGCCACCTCCTGGTCGTGGTCCAGCGCGACGTAGCACATCTTCTCCTTGATGTCGCGCACGATTTCGCGCTCAGCAGTGGTGGTGAACGAGTAGCCGCGGTCCATGAGGATCTTCATGAGCTGGTCAGTGAGGTCGCGGCCCGCCAGGTCCAGGCGCAGGATGGCGTGCGGCAAGGAGTAGCCCTCGTAGATGGGCACGGTGTGGGTCACGCCGTCGCCTGAGTCCAGCACGATGCCCGTGGTGCGGCCGGAGGCGTAGAGCGACAGCACGGCCTGGATCGAGATGTACATGGCCGGCACGTTGAAGGTCTCAAACATGACCTGCGTCATCTTCTCGCGGTTGCTCTTGGGGTTGAGCGGCGCCTCCGTGAGCAGCACGGGGTGCTCCTCCGGCGCCACCCGCAGCTCGTTGTAAAAGGTGTGGTGCCAGATCTTCTCCATGTCGTCCCAGTTGTTCACGATGCCGTGCTCGATGGGGTACTTGATGGTCAGGATGCCGCGTTTGGACTGCGCCTCGTCGCCGATGTACGCGTCCTTCTGCCCCATGCCCACCATTAGGCTCTGGTGCCGCGGCCGCCCCACGATGCTGGGGAAGACGGCGCGCGGTGCGTCGTCGCCCGCGAAACCCGCCTTAACCATCCCGGACCCATTGTCGCACACCACTGCGGACACCTCTCCCTCGTCGGCCATTGTTCGCGGGCAGGCTCGGACTCGAGAGCCGGGCGCTGCTGGGGCTGGGGGCTGTCGCTGGGGCACGGGGATGGGGCGCTGCGCTTGGGTGCGGTGCAGGTGGGATGGGAGGTCGCTGATTGAACGGTCCCACACCGGTCGAATTAATGGCCGGGCCGTGGAACGATGGCGTCCATTGAAAGGGTGCGTCCGATGGGCGGGGCAACCTTGGACGGGGAGCGGGGGGCGGCGGGCGGCGCAGGAGGAGGCGAGCGGCGGCGTACTTCGCTTCAGCCGCCTTTCTTCGACGTTGGACGGGGCGCAGTGTGCGATTACTCGAGCGTGCGTTCGAATTGTGACCGCGCCGATTGGAGTGCGGTGTGGGGTTACTCGAGTGTGCATCCGAATTGTGACCATGCCAACTTTTACGCGCAAGGTGATGCAAGTTCTCGCTTTGTCTGATAACACTCTTCTCGTGCGGAGCGCTGTTCCCTGGCCGGCGTGAAGGTTGTCTCTTTCGTCAATAAGTTCGAGCCATGAAGAAGCATCCGTGCCTGCCAGGGAGGCAACAAGCGCAGCAGGCCCCCCCACGTACCAGGGCAAGCATCCAGGCAATCGCCATTCCCCACTCCCAGCCACTGGCACCCTCCGCAGAAATCGCCCTGGCCAACGGTATCATGCACCTTTGGCGCTCAGGAAGCACTGCTTTTCTTGCCGCAGCTTTCAATCAAGCCCACTGCAGGACATCAACGCGGCTATCTTATGGAAAACTTACCATCCTGGCAGCAGGTGGTGGCAGTAGGTGGTGGGCGTGCAGAGGGCAGTTCTGGTGACTGAATACTCCATCGACCTGAGTGCTGCCATGGACTCCCTGGACTGGGATGCGTTGCCTCGGAAAGAAACAACAGAACATGAAGTTGTCATCACAAGGACTTGCACTGGCTACACAAGCTCCGCGGTGAAAAGGTGGGCACCATTTGCTATGCCCAACACAAAATCACCGATTGTTAAAGAACTGGCTCGACTTTGGGTCCAGCTTCCTCTTTGGCAACACTGGCGTGATACAGCAGTTTCAGGAGACAAAACAACGTTCTCACACGCACAAATCTACTGGAATCGACGACAAACGACAAGGATTTCTATTCCCTGCTGCTCGACACCAGAAATGTGGAAAGGTCCACGTAAATAGACCATGATACAGTGCCATCATCATAACAAGCTTCTCTTCTTTCCAAGTGGCCTTCCCTCGCATCTAACCAGGGCTTTGGCAAATGGAATCATGAATCGAAAAACTAGTTGCCTCTTTTCCAACAGTGTTCTCTTGTCAGCCAGTCACAAGAACTTGTAGATACTGGACTGGATATGGCACACATGGACAGTAGGGAATCAAAATCCAAAGTAAGGCTACAACTACCAGAAGGTCACCACACATGACATCAACCCCACAGCCTGCAAGACGTCCAATAATCTCAACTCTCTTGGCAAAGGCTGCAGCTTTGACTTGACTGCCCTACACTCATGGTTCCCAGTGCACTTTTTCTCATTGCCTTGGCTTGAACAAAGCATTCTATGCCTCTCCTTGTAGCAAATGGCTTTTCTGTGCTGGCAGCCACGTCCATCATACAGCTCGTTGGGCGCAGCCCTGCTGCTGTCAGATTTCATGGACACAGCAGGACCACACAGCAACACCAAGCTTGTGCACCAATAGATGAACATGCAGTCACAAGCTCAATCTGAATTGTGGCAACAACAACATGAGCAATACAAACTATCACACTCACCATGCAACACTATGGCCATTCATGCTTGTGCTGCCCGTCCACAACAGTTCATAATGGGAGCCAGCACAGCAAAGTTCTTGCCTGAGAACACTGCACATGGTGGGCATACCACTTTGCAGCAAGGATACATGCAAGAATGCTCTCCATGCTGCCAAAGACGTTTAGGAGCTTCTAAGCGCAATAAGAAAGCAAACAACAAAGAGCAAACACAGCCCAACAGAGACACCGAATGCTGTGAAGGTCCTGTTGTGCCAGCACCTTGTCATTATCACATCGAAGGCACATTCTTCCTGGGAATACTGCTTTCGACAAGCATTCACGTAGGTATGCTGAGCAGTAGGAGCTCTACTAAGGGAACTACTAAGGTGTGCCTGCAGTTTCTAAAATGCCCCACAGAGCAGCCAGTTGCTGTGAATGGGTGTCAACATCACTTGCCCAATGCCCCGGTGAAAGCTCGTGGACTGCACAAACTGCTTCAGAGCTCGAACCACTCTCTTGCTGGATTTTCCGAATCGTGTGATCTATGTACTGACAGTCTCAAGGAGGGAATTCCAATCTGCTGTTTCTGAAGAACGTATGTCGTCCACCTTCACCACAGCCTGGCACCTCTGCAGCTTTCCACGACGACCCGCACACCCGCGGGCAGCCGTGGCTCGCTGCGTGCCAGAGATCAAATTCGAGCACAACCACAGCCACTTGGAGCGCGTCAAACGTTTTGCATATGTGAGATATGGGATATACATGAGGACAACAGCTCCTGCGCAAGCACGGCAATCTGTGGCACATATGGTGCATCCAAAACATTGGAACAAGAGGAATTTAACCTGCGTCAGCCGACAGCTGGAAACGTGACATACCAAAACACCGCAAAGCACACACTTCATGTGTCTCTGGGGCATTGACGGCGCGAGATTCACATTCCTCGAAGCAGCTGACCAGCTTCCAACACACGAGGTGTTTCCAGATTACTCTGAACGGCCATATTCAGATCTTCAGATACTCAGGTGTTCAGATTCTTCTGAACGGCCGTGTTGCGCAGGCATCGTGTCAAAGTTCAGCACCGCTCCACAGGGCTGGGACGCAATTGTGCGCAACGACCCGGTGCGTTTGGCAGCTGAAACTGGCTATTCCCAAAGCCCGAATCAGAATTCGTGTCCCCGCAGGCCGTTGGGGCGTCGCGGCGGCGCCACATATCAGGACATACACATTCGGGACGCCCACGGACGTCCAGAATTCCTCCACAACACATGTTGATGAGCTCCCGTGGGCGCTGGGCCGAGCGGCTTCGTCCCCTGACACCTTTCCCCTCCCGCGCTGCGCGCCAGCCTTGCGCAGCCCGCGCCCGGACGACCGCCATTCCGCACAGGTCCGCCACCAGCTGGCAGTCGGCCACCTGTCCAGTTCAACCCATGCTGTCGACCAACGTCCCCGTCAACAGCAATGCGCACATCAACCAGGGGCACCGGTTTTCGGCCGCCACGTCGGATTGCGCCCGGATGCCGGTTTTGGCAGCCCGCCTCCTCTCCCTTCAGGCTGATCGGGGCGCTGCCTTTCCACTTTCCCCCAGGTCCGCGCCGGCCGGCCCCTCGGCCTCCCCGCCTCTCCGCCTCCGCCTTGGCCCCCTTCGACCGCGCACCCCCAACACACCGCCATGGGCATGGCGGGCTTCCTGCCCGGCCTGGCGGCCGCAACACACCCGTCCGGCTTCCCCCAGTGGGCGGCCGGCGGGGACCTCCTCTCGCCGTTCACCATCTGGGTCTTCGGCGCGATCTTCGGCTTCATGGTGCGGCGATTCCCCAGCCCTCCCCTTGGGTCGTTATCCCATCTGCGCCGTCGCCCGGGAGCCCGTGGCTCGGATCAAGGGCGCCATTCTCACCGGCTTCCGGCTTTGTGTGTCGCAGTGCGCGCGGTTCTTGGGGATCCTGGCGGGCGACAGCGCCGCCTGGCTGCCCTCTCCACCGGGCTCGGGTGTCCGGCGCGCGGCGCTGCTGCTGCACGGCATGGTCATCGCAAGGTGGGCCCCGCCTGCGGTGCCGCGTCCTCGATTGGAGCCCCGATGCCTGCGGCGTCGCGCCGTTTTGGCCGATCGGCCGTGACGCTGATTGATGATCCTCGGTCGGTCTCCGCGGCGTCTCGTGGGCCCGCGGGGAAGCGTAGAGTGCCGCCGTGCCGTGAACTCCGAAACAGACGGTCCCGGTTCCCATGGGCATCGCCCCCGGTGCCCAATGGCATGGCGGCGTTGTGCAGCCCGGCCCCTCGCGGCGCAGTTGTGCAGCGGGTGCGGATTGCGTCCGCTGCGGGCGGCGGGAATCGGAGCGCCGGTGATCGGCCCCGGCCCCTGCGATGGGATCGTAAGCTGTTTCGGGAGTTGTGGCCGCATCCGGACATCCCTGGACGTCGCCGTGGGACGCCTTGCTTTGTTCGCCCCGCGCGGGAGCCCCTGAGCGCCATCGCGGCGCATGGGAGGGCTCATTGGCATCGCACGATGAGATCGAAAGAGGGATCGCGGTGGCCGCAACATGTGCTTTGCTCGAAACCTGATCGCTGATGCCGGGCGCAGGGACATTTGGTGCAACCACACCAAGAGGGGCACCTTTCGACGCTGCTGTCGAGAACTGTGGCGGTGGGTGGAGGAGAGGTGGTTCGGGCGGCCGGCGGCGAAAACCTCGCGCGGCCTCCGGGCCCCCCTGGGTGCGGTGGCCGAGCAGGCCGCGGGAACCGACGAGGCGTGGTGAGTCCGGTCTGCGAGTGGGTGCCAGAATCACGTGTGCGGGAAGTCGATGTGGCCACCGGCGGCCTCCGCGCTGGAAAGATTGTCTTCGAAGAATGGAAATCGAGATCTATGATCACTGCAAATGTGTGCAGCACGAGATCTGCGCGGCTTCGGTGTTGGATGGGGCGCGGACGCTGCGGGTCATTTGGTCATTCACGGCGAATCGAGGGCCACCTGAGAAATGGAGTGGCGGTGACTGGGCTGGCTTCCACCCTGAAATGTCAGCCACCCATCCGCGTGTCGCTTGCCACATGGACTTCACGAGTGTTAATGGAATGAGCTCGGATCCGGAGAGAATTGACTGGACAGTGCACCGTGACAACCTTGACAACAAAGTATGCGCTGGGTCACGCTACGCATACAATGGCCCCACCTGAGCGTGCGTCAGGAACACCTGATGTACCCCTCCCCCTTCTCTTGAAAAGAATATTATGAAACCACTGTATTTTCATATCTGGGACGATTACTATGACAGAGACCTGCGCGTTGCGCACGCCCTCCTGTGGGGAACCCCGGCCCACTTAATGGTTATTTAATTTGTCGAATTGTGTCTGGGACAATTCAGTCACTGGCCAGTACAGTGGCGCAACAGCTGCGGAATGAGCCCATCAGTGGATCAGGAGTCCCAAAAGGCGACTCGTATGCCATGCATATCTCAACGCACAGCAGGTTGTAGTGGTGCCGTTGCCATTCAAGTGCTGCTGTGCCTCTGTGTTTATGTATGTGTGCCGTTGTATTCACTGGCCATCATGTGTTTGACGTTGTAGGTGTGTGGCTGAAAACGACTTGAAATTCTTTAAGACGAGAATGGAAAATCGCGATCCTGGAGACTGGAAACAATTCTGCCAGAAGGAGTTGCCTGGAGAGCTCACCTTTTCTGCTTGGTGCCATATTCTCCCTGTAAGCGTTCTGATGATGGTGGCCTGCATGTTTCGATCATTGCGCCATGGGCCCCATCGAAAGAGCTTCGTTACTTCAGTGGGCTTGGGATTCTCAAACTATGCGCTTTGCTGCATTCAATTTTACCTCCACCCCACTTGGGAGCGCGCTCTTGCTGTTTTCGACACCTGCGCAAGAAGTGATGTTCACTTGCAGATGCTGTTTCACTTTGTGTAAATTGTCATTGGGCTTGGGAAAGACAAACCTGAGGCCTTGTACCTTGCAGGACAAGACGACAGAGTACAAGAGCGTCACAGTTGTTCGAGACATCACAGCAGAAGAGATGATGGACTTCTACCTGGATGATCCTGTGCGGATGAAATGGGTAGGCATCCAATTCTTTGGCAGTGCATCTCTGCATTGACAGCATTGTTTCAGAATAAGCGAACTCTGGTTTTGCACCTGCAGATTGTATATCCCACATTTGCATCTTGTGGCTTGAAAAGTCCAAGCAGTGATGTCTGTATTGTGCATCTTCTGCTTTGTTGTGTTATAGGTGCAGGGTAGAGTCGGTGGTCTGTAACTTTCAAATTACCTGTGGCAGATTCTGGTACCGTGGCATCAACTGTGCCTGTTTCTTTCCTTGCAGGATGGTATGATTTCTCATCATGAGCTCCTCCAGCAAGACTCCGTTGCCGATCGCCAACAGATTGTCCGATGGATAAGGTCCTTCCCTTTCAGTTTCATGACAGACCGTGAGTACATCATTGGCAGGAAGGTGTTTCGTAAGGAGGACAGAATCTATGCCATGACAAAGGTATGGAGTGCCATGGACCAGATTGTGCGGGATCAGTCTGATGACGGCAGCTCATCGCATCGCAGAAGCGCCAAGCGTGATATATTGCATCTATATGCAAGTTCGTATATAGTTGGGAATGTGTGGGCGATGTGCAGAGTCCATTTGTCATTTTTTCCTTGTGCATGCTCATTATTAGCAGCTTTTTTGCACTCCAATTAGCAAGGCTCTGGAAGCTACTCTTTTGGTGCTGATCCTTTTTGATGTTGTCCATGGTTGCAGGCTGTGGAGCATCCATTGGCACCCCTGAAGGAAGGACTGATTCGAATGGAGGTGTACTATTCCATGTGGTACACTCGGAATGTGGAGTGCCCGTGGGGCACAGACAAGAAAGCATGTGAAGTCGTGCTGTTGCATCACGAGAAGTTCGGAATCCCAGAGAGGCTGTCGCGATTTGTGGCCTGCAAGGGTATGTGGGGAGTCATCAAGAAAATGGTGCCAACCATACGAGAATTCACCACAGAACGGAGGCGACGGTGTGATCCGGTAAGGCATGGTGACAAGGGCGGTTATCTGCAGTGCCGACAAGTTGTGCCACGGGACATCAGTCTTGCTCGATTGTTTTTGAAGCAGTGCTTAATATGTGGCCATTTCAGCTGTTTCTTGTTCACAGCACAGCAGAGCACAAGATGGGCTGTATGTTTGAGCCGACCTAGTTTGGTTACAATGTTTCAGTTGGTCGTGGCTTTGCCCCCTCAGGCCGCCGGCGGCTGCAGCCGTTATGCTGTGGGTTTCAGCGTCAGCCATCTTCAACGAATGGACAGATGTACTTGGCACCAGTGACTTCATAAAATCACAACAGACCGAACTGTGGTGGTTGATGATAAAATGTTGAGATATAGCTGGCAGGTGTGACTTGATGCATCTTGCGACTGTGCAGGATGAGGCCGACGCACAGGCCTATGGTGCCGACTGGAGCCCTGACGTTGAGTGCGAAGATGGCACATACTCCAGTATCAACACACAGGGTGGCAGGGTGCGCAGGTTCCGGCCATTCAGAGCGCTTCGCAGGGCTGTCATGGCAGGCTTGGTCACGACGGCCATAATCGTTGCCAAGCACAAGTGAGCTGCCAAGGAGCCGATTCGATAGGCAGTCGATTTTCTTTAGTTTTGACAAAGCACGAAGACCGGTGGGCAAGGGCACAATTTAGCATGGGGACGATTGAATAATGATGCCTTGTTGCGCAGTGATGGCCATGGCTGGATTTTGGTTGCTCGTGCGGTTCAACGCATTCACATGTTCCCTGAATGGTCGTGCTGTTTTGGGGCAACCGAGGAGCTGTGCATTTGAAATTGCTGCCGTCAGGCTCGATGCCAAGACGCCTAAATTCTAGCCGACGAAGACCTGCTGATGTGCAGTATGTTGGCAGCCTCATTTTGAGTCGGGAGTTGAGCCAGGATTTTGAAAGGGATAGCTTTAGGTCCTGAGGACACTATAGACCTTAGCGAGAATGACAAATGGTGTGGTGACGCATTCAGACATCGACTGCCAAACCCAGTTTTTTCGCAACATTCTGCGCAGGTGTGTGGACAGTGGAGATGTTTGCAGGAGCGGATATGGTGGGGCTCCCCGAGCCTTGAACATGTTCATAGCGCCAGTTGCCAGTGTGACCTATCACGCATTTCATCAGTTGTGTAATGGTTCCTTCCTGAAGCGACACTGTGCCCATGGGCTGTGTGCCTGGCCATTTGCTTGGCCTATGGGTGATGTTGTGCGCGGTGTCCGCTGGACAATGCACGGTTAAATCTTTTGGAACATGCCAGACCTCAGCATACTTGTAACTGCCAGCAACGACGTGAGCAGCTCGTATTGTGGCCAGTGAAGTGCAATGTGCCCCATCGAGGGAGGTGGAGAAATTGTGCCATATGATGTTGTTGGGCACAGCAAAAGTTTTCTGATGCTGTTGACGAACCAACACAATGGCGAGATTCTTGCCCAATGGCGAGATTCCTTAACACAACGGCTCAAGAACGTTTTGTGGGGCTGTCCACTTGATCCGCAGGGCAACTTGCCGCACAAGAGTCGGCGTTTGCCATTTCCAAACGGTGTTTGCCAGCTGATCTCTCCGTCGCCTCAGCCTTGATGCCAACCTGTAACTTTGGCCTGGAGGTAACTCTGTAGTTCCAAACAAGCAACACCTGCGGCCACAGCACCCAGGGCCCAGCGGCCCCTCGCATCGATTGTCGAGCCCACTAGCAACCTCTCCAGCAACACAATTCCCGCAGTCGGCTGGGGACGCGGGCAGGCTCGCTGCCCAGGAAAAGGATACCAGCTGGCAATCAGCTGTAGTTCAGCCTGAGTCCAGCCTGCATGCAACGCGCTTCGACACAACGGGCATGCCATGTATCCCTACGGCGAAGCAGCTCCATGGTGACCCAAAAATAGTACAAACAGCAACCGAATTCCTGCATCGTCAGCAGATCAGAGTCACGAGCTGTGTGGACAGTGCGCAAACGAGTTGCCCACCCTGCTGGCCCTTCCTACCCACCCACAAGCCCCGCAGGTAGCCAACAACCACCCACGACAACCCCTGCCACGTGGGGACATTAAACAGATTGAATTTTCCTTTCAGAGGCATGTACTGTCATGCCTTCCATTACATCACTGCTACTTGCCATCTCCGGGGGCAGCCAAGGCCAAAGGGAGGATGCACTACGAGTCTATGCTGATGAAGGCAAAGGCACGAAGCGACGGCCCGCTGCAACAAGTCTGCACTGGCATTGCGTCAACTGCTACCGGACTGCAAGGCAGGTCCCATTTCAAGCCTGGCCCTGCCTAATATAGTTTGGCCCGTGCTCACGCCATGATCATCATCGAATGAATAGTTCCGTGACTGAGTTGTCCACAGCAGCGTCCAGATCCACAGCGAGCAGCTCTCTCGAATTCACCCACACCCAGTCCAGTCACCAATTCTCAAAATCCAAACACTAGCGCTTCTTCTTTTGCTCAACCTTCTTCGGCTCCTCTTGACTCGACTTCTGCACCCCAAACAGCTTGGCAAAGAAAACAAATGACGTGCCACCCACGATGTTGTTCAGCGTCCGGATGACCGTTGAGTACGTCAGGAATATTTGAGCGGGCATCAAGGGGGATAGCACCATGTCAAGGCCATACAAGGCCTGGTACCTGATGTTGGCAGACACCCCCATGTGGCAGGCCCACGTCAGGGAGTTGTACAGCACGTGCGGGGGCTTGTTCTGCAGCTCGAACTTGGGGTCGACCCGCCGTCTGATAAACAACAGCGTGTTGGAGGTCGCTGTTCCTACAAGACCAGCACAGAACCCAACAAAGCTGAACATCACCGCCTTGTAGCCCAAGTTGGCGGCCCTCATAGGGAGCGAGTAGCCAGCTTCGAACATGTTCCCCCCCGGGGCGCCCCAGTTCTTCAGGGTCTGCTCGCTGAATAGCTTCTGGATGAGGTTCATCTTGGTGGTTCCTCCCAAGGTTGTGGGGGTCGCAGCTAGGAGGTACATGAGGGAGAAGTTGAGGATGCTGCCGACGATTAGGGTGGAAAACACGAAGTCCAGCTCGTTGAGGCCCCAGTTGTCCCGGCCAGCCATGTCACCCAGCACGGACCCCCCCACGCCGATTATCTGCTCGATTGCCACCTTGGCAGGAAAGCCAGGGTCAGCCTGTACCCTCTCATGCCAGCCCTTCCAAAAAACTTTCTCCTGCGGAGCACCGCCTGCGAGGCAGGGAACACAAATCCAGGTCATTCTGATCTTGCAAGTGATCACCTCCATCACTGCAAACTACCATGTGCAAACTTCGCTGCGAAAATGTACTTTCAGACTATTGCAGCAGACATGATGTCATCCTACAGATGCAACTGCACAGTAGGACTGTTCTGTTCCTCAAGGACAAACAACTGCAAACTGACAAACTGAAAATGTGCACATTCTACATTCTGACTGTTTGCTGCTGTGGTGGCAGGGAAGTTTCCTCCACATTTCTGGGCTGTGTCACATCTGGCAACGGGGAATGTTTGCGGCTGTGGCATCTTCACACAGAACAGCCGCAGGACGTGATCGTCTCTTATCTGAATCGTCATCAACTATTATTCTCACTCAAACAGGGACAGCAAGAGATTTGCGCACAAAACTTCAACATCAATACCCAGAAAGACCTGTGATGTCGCAGGTCACCACCCGACCACCAAACACGTCGGTGTATCGTCAGACCTGACCATCCCCCAGGAACCAAAGAAGCGCAGCGGCTGACATGGGAAGGCTGACGGCAAAAGGACTGGCAGTCTGCACACAGACACCAACACAAAGCATACGACCTTCATGGCTATCCCCTTCACGCGCCCTGCATGCTCTACCTGCACCCCTCCCACCCCCGCAGCCCTGCCCGAGGACAGCAATCGCAACTCCGGGTGATAGGACCCGTCGCCACCACCCAACGGGACAAAACGAGAAGAAAACTGGCCACAGGGGACCACTTTGAGCATCCAACACCAGCAACACGACTGGTACGAGGCGTTCCGGCTCCCCCGGTGCTCCGATCAACACAGTCATCAACGTGCCCCGTCCCCAGCCGCAGTTTCACCCACGGCACATGCTTGCGCTGCCGGGAAGCATGCCCTGTGGGCAACGCCGTCGCGGCCGCTACGCCCCGCTCCGCGCAGCCAGCCGCCCACAATCAGACCTTGACCGAAACAACCAAGACCAAGGCCCCCAGAGATCCGTTCCCCGGCACACCAATCCCCAGATCGTCCCAAACAGCGCCCGTCGAGCTTCCAGCAGCTCCCGATCCGCCGAACGCATCCCCAACCAGGCGCGAAACGCGATGCACCCCCCTCTCGAGCGCGGGGCCCCCCTCACCGTCGCCGTCGTCCCCGTAGCCGCCGCCGCCTCCGTAGGCGTCCCCCCTGCCCGGCCCCCCGCCCCCGCCGCCCATGTTGATTGCGTCCGTCGCGGCGCACCGGATGGCGCGGCCGCGCCGCGGGAGCCGCAAGGGCCGGAGGCACGGCGGCTGGCCCTGGCGCGGGCCCGGGCGCGCGCACCGCGGGGCGTTCAGCGACTCCATGGGGGGCGCTGGGGGGCCAGGAGATTGCGGTGCGGCCCAAGCGGGGTGCGTCGCCGTGTGCGGTGCAGTGACGGGCCTGACAGCCCACTATTTCGCTTTGTGAAAAAGTGTTGCTTTGCCGCTTGGGGTGGAGCTGCCTGCTGGCGCACATATTTTGCCAACATCCACGATTTTGAGAAGAAACAGTCGCGAGGAAAAGGGTCGCGTCCAGAAAAAAAAATCCGCGACCCCGCGCAGCATACCCACAAAGATTTTCCAGAGGTGCCCTTAAATGGACAAAAAAGCTGTTGTCCTTTGCGATCTCCGTCTATGCCATCGCTCGGCACCACATTCCCGGCAAATTCACATCGGGCACACCCGATCCCTTCAAAACACCCACACGCACCGCCAACCGCAGCGTGGGCCCGCGAGCCCAGCCGGGGCCCCACGGACACCGCCGCTGGCGGGAAGGGGGCAGACAGCGGTGACTAACGCGCTTTTCCCGCCTCCGCACGCGCACGCCCAGAAAGCAGCGCGATGCCCAAGGGGGAGGCCGACCCGGCCGACCTCTGGTCCAGCTCGGACGTCGGCGCCTGGAAGTCCCACCTGGCGCTCTACCGCGACCGCGCCGACGCCAAGCCGGGCCTAGGGGCCCTGGACAGGTGGTTCTTCGACGAGCTGCCGGGGGCCATCCGGGCCAGGGACGAGCCCCGCGTGACGCGCGACGAGCTCGTGAGGGTCGTCGAATGGAAGCTGAAGCGCGGGAGGTTCCGCCCGCGGCTGCTGGGCTACGCGAGGGGGCAGGGGGAGGGGGACGTCCGGTCGGCGTCCGCGGAGGCCTACGGGATGCTGGCGACGGGGGCGGGGGGGGAGGGGGCCCTGCGGCGGGCGCTGGCGCGGCTGTGCGAGCTGAAGGGCGTGGGGCCGGCAACGGCCAGCGCGCTGCTGGCGGCTTTCGACCCGTCGTGCCCGTTCATGTCCGACGAGGCGCTCCGGGCGGCGCTTGGGGGAGCCAGGGAGTACACGGCTGGCAGGTGAGGGGGGCCGCGGAGGACGGCGGATTCGCGGGGCGCCTGGGGAGGGAATCCTGGGCGTGTGTCTGCCGGCCAGGGGCTGTACGCGTCCAGGCAGCTGCAGGACTGGGACTTGGGCCAGAGAGAACGAGGACTGGGTCATGCAAAGGGCACCTACTCCTGCGCAAGTGTCCGTGAGACTCTGTTCCACGCTCTGAGAAGATGACGCAGAGTCTCCAGTGCAACAACACTACCGCCACGAAGAGCAAGAAAACACTAGTGGGGTGGATGAGGGCAACGCTTTCTTCGCAGATCTTATCCCAAACTGCCCGCACCCGCCGATATCAAAAGCTCTGGAACTTAATGTGTTCACGGTGAACGGGATTGTCGTGCAATCCCGTCCAACGGACCGAACGCACTGATGCTGCCGCGGCCGTCGATTCTAGCGATGTGGGACTGTTCAGCAATAGCAGTGGGCGCCAGCGGAAAACTCGCCGGGGATTGTGAACGATTTGCAACGGCCTCCACAGGTACATGGAGTTGGCTGCTGCACTGCGGTCCAAGGCTGAGCAACTTGGGGGAGGGGATGAGTGGACTGCACGGGAGGTTGAGATGAGCATCTATTCTTGCGCGCATAGCATGGAGGCGAAGGTGACTGGAGCAAAGAGGAAGAGGGGATGTTGAACCAAGGTCGTCGAGAGGGCCAGCCAGAAATGTTGGCCAGGTGCCCTTGGCTCTCGTCTGGCATTCCAAAGCAAGGAATATCAAGCGCCCACAAGGATTTGCTTTGCATGGCATGCGGTCATGTTATGGTGAGTCGTGTCACTGTGTTCTGGTGTACGAAATTCAGAGCCGGCAGTGGCACTGGGAGATTGCAGGAGGTAGATTCGTCTGTTAAGTAACGCAAACTGGTGTTGGTAAGCATGGGAACAAGATGCATTCCTTCCTGCACGTGCTTGCACCAAATGATGCCAACCTGTAGCCGTAACGTCTGTGCAGGGCCATTGGCAGTCCAGGCCTTGCACAACTGGCTGCACCTCAAAGTGACCATAAAACGTGGCAGGGGCACTGTACTGGTCCTGGAGCTCCCAGCGGCAGCCAGCTAGACTTGCTGGAAATGCAACTTTTCGTACATATTGCCACAGGCTATCAGCCTCAGGATAAATTCTTCCACAGACAACAGCTACAGGATGTGTGTCTGTACAATTTTCCTCACAGTTGATCACCAACATTGGTGCAAACCCTGAGTTTCACCTGAAAAACTTCTATGGGGGGTGGTGAAGTGTCTGTCAATGATTTGCTCATGTCAGACCATGGCAACATGGAACAAAAGGATGGATAAAGATCGACATCCATATGGCACCAGCCTTGACACAGGCAAAGGCCACTATCATCCCCAAAATTGATAACAAAATTGCAAAGGCGCATGGGTAGGCATGCCCTTACATGCATGGCACTTCACATAGTTCCTCGTCATGTTGCCCTGGGTCGATCTCACTACCCTGCGGGGCTGGCTACAGCTGCACCAAATTCAGGTATTCTGCTTGCATGGCAAACCATGCTGATCCTCATTCTTGGTTGAGGGCATCGTACGCTTTCGAGTCGAGGAGTCCATCCATTTCGGCTGGATTGGACAGTTCCACCTTCACCAGCCAGCCATCATCTTCAGGCGACTTGTTCACCTGCAGAATCCATCGACCAAAACTCTTTGAAAAAAGTCGCAACAGACATGACACCGGTCATTCGCCTCCCAAGGCGAGGGAAGGGGTTTGGGGGGCGATGTCACAATTCTACGTCCAAAAACGCTTGCTACCCACAAAACGACAACATTGCTTTCGACCCGTTCTCTGCACTGTTCTGCACAGTTGCCGCATCCAAGAATGTCTTTGCAAGATAACACAAGCACAATGTGGTTTGTCAGAAACACAGGTGCCCATCTTTAAGCTCGTCAACCAAGATCTGCAGCCTTGCTCTCTCGACACGCGTCTCTGAAACGGCGTCGGACAACGGCTGCAACCAGTGGCGCTGAGTGCCTTGCATGGGCCGTTGCAGACTGAACGGGCGTCCCGACGCCAGGGACAACGCAAAATACCAGGGGACAAAAGGCACGGCGACTGGCCACCACTCACCATGCCGGGATTCTCGGTGAGCGCGGTGTTGCACTCCACCACCTTTCCGCTGACAGGCGAATAAACGTCGCTGGCGGCCTGCGACACAACGCCGCCACAAACAGCGCTATGCATCAGGACATGGGCACGATCCCCGCGGCTGCCGCAGATCTGCACCCCTCCGGACCCCACCCACGGGTCCGCCGCCCTGCCCGCGACGCCGTCCCCTTGCACCCATCACCCAGGCTGGCTGCGGCGCTTCAATGGCGACGGTGACTGCCCGCCCAATGGCCAGTCCCCACCGCCCATTGAGCCGAAAGAGGAGGCGCTGAAAATCGCCCGGCCTCACCTTCACGGACTCCACCACTCCGAACGGCTCGCCCTTCGCCACGGACGCCCCCACCTCCGGCAGCTCCACGAACACAATGTCCCCCAATTGGGCCTGCACACGCGCATTGGGCAAATCTGTCAGCCGGGGACGTCGAGCAGCGCGCTGCGATCAGCCACTCGCGGCCTCAGCGCCATCATGGCGACAACCCCACACGCACCTGCGCGTGGTCGGATATCCCGACTGTGGCGTTCTTCCCATCCGCCAGCGCCCATTCATGCGACTCGGCGAACTTCATCCCCTCCTCTGCGGAGGCGAACGACAGGGCGCCCGGTCAGCGATGCCATCCCGAAGATTCGATGGGCGCCCTGGCCGCGCAAAAAGAGCAAGGGAAAACCGGCCAGGCGCCTGGCCCAACAGTCAGCCGAGCTTTTGCGTACTGGCTGAGGCGAATGCCCGAGCGAAGCTGTAGCACAAATCGCCCGGGAGGCGGCCGTCCAGGGAGGCGCCGTAGCGCCTGCCGAACTCGGCGGCCAGTCGTCTGAGCGCCATGGCGACTGGTCGCGGGGGAGGGCCGGAGCGGCGGGGACCGGAAGGGGGCAGGGGGGGGACTGCGGGCGACCGCCGAGCGTGGATGGGTGGGTTTGTTGTGCGGTTGCGCCCTCACATTCGTCAGACCGCGCCCTCCGTCCCCGTTCCGCGGATGTCCAGTGAAAAATTGTGGTAGAAAACGGCCATGCAAAGTACTGCACTGCGTGCGAAGGGAGGCGGTAGGCGGGGAATTCTCTTGGATGGCTGCTTGAGTGAACTGCGCTGGTCAAAACATGCTCGGGTGTGTTTGGAATGGTCGTCTGTCTACGAGTGACACTATTGGGGCAGTGCAACAAGAACGCTGGTTGAACCGACCTTTGGAAGCTTCTCCAGCCAATAACACATTAACCGCCTACCATTTCCTTGATTCAGACATTGCCCCACAGAAAATATCTGACTTGGGCCTGATTTGGGAACCTAAAGATAACCTTATGAAACCTTATGATGTGGAACTCTTCCATAGTCCATCCATGAAGTGTTCCAGCGCTCATAAATGGTTTCAGGTGGTGGTGGACTGAGTGACACTTTGCATCGTGTAGAAGTCACCCAAGCGATTCCTTGCTTCAGCGCAGCACATTCCTTGGTCGTTCTCTCACAGCACTGTGCGAGCATGAATGCCGATGTTTCTGTGTTCGGAAGTCGCAACGCACGAATCGGCGTCTGGACACCAAAATTTTCATGGTGAAACGGACCTGGAACAGCGATATGTAATACACAGAGCATCACATATTACATTTTAGCTTAAATCTTCAAGTGTACAAGAATCAAAGTTGGGTAATTCCACAGGCTATCTGAATCTTCCACAGGCTTGCTCTCAATACCGCTGCGTCATGGAGCATGTTTTCATGCTTGACGCACAAAGGTTCATGTATCACGTATACATGTGGTGTGCAATGAGCACATGCGGTACACCTGCACACCCTATCGCATCCTTGAGCCCACAGGTAGTTTGTTCTATTGACAGGGTAGTCTGCCCTGCCGCAATACTGCACCCATCCTCATAGTGACCTTCATATCAACGCTTGTGTTGATATGATCAGTGCTTATCGTGAATCTGAAATAAGATACCATTGAAGGACGGGCCAATCGACATCAAAGAATGAGAAAGTCTTTCGGGCAACAACAATGGCGCGTTGACCTGATGCATAGCGCAGCAACCCAAGAGCAATGTGCAGCATGGGTAAAAGGTGGTAGCAACATAATGCAAAAAAGCAGTGAGAACTTTCAAATCTAGTATTATGTCATCACCCATGTTACCAAAATGCAACGCTTCCCCCATTTTCAACTCGAGTTGCAGTCTTTATTCACGATTTAGGAATGCAACACGCTTTGCCCAGGCGAAGAAATTGTGACAAGTGCCCCTACATTGCCCAGCGAATATGACAACACTGCTGCTTCAATGCTGGAAGACAATGGTGAAAATGACCATGCACACACAAACTGACCTGGGAGACTTCCCAAGCACACCGGGGGAGCCACGACGACGTCGCAGTCCGAGTAATAACCAGGATCATTAACGGCGAGCGCTTTTTGTTGAGCAACCAACAGCTGACCGACCGTTAGCTCAACTGGTTAGCACTAACTAGACACCTTCGCTTTAGGTGAGCATGGACGGTGTCCTGCCAGCATGCCTCCTGGTCCAGAATGCCAGGACTCCTTGTCTCGCGCCCTTGCCCCACCTACCCACCAACAGTCATCGCCGGTGTGGTAAGCGCCACCTCCTCCCCAGCCAGCACCCCAACATACGCCTTCAAACTGCCTCAATCCACTATTTGGAAGCCACCACCTCACAGTGTACTTTTGAAACCGGCCACCAGCCCCACCAGCCCAGTGTGCAAGTGCCCACCCCCCCGCCCCCTTCCCCATTGCTTCCGCCCTCCCAGCAGCAGGCATATTTTGCTTACCTCCCCCCCTTCGCATCAGTGTAGGTTCCCTCCACGGCCCGCGGCCCCCTCGCGGCGACAGTCGGAACAGCGCCGGCCCCACCTACGGGAGCGTCCGCGGAGAGCGCAGCGCGCCAGACGCCCCCAGCCCCACAACCCCGTCCGCAGGCAACCGCACAGGGTGAGTGGATGCCGCATCGCTCATGGTGAAATTCTTCCCCTGCCGCAGTTGCGCACAAATGGCCGAACACGGCTCGCTCGCAGCAGCCCGCTTTGCGCGCCAAACCGTAGTGGGGAAATTGTGCGTTTGTTAAAGGCAGTCACCACCATTTGCGCTGCTGCCGCAGGCCGCCGTTCGGCGCTGAGGGCCCACCGGGCCGCGGGCTCTCGCCATGGGCAATAAGGCGTCCATACCGGAGCCGAAGCAGGTGTACCTGGCCGCCAAGGCGGGCAATGCCTTTGAGCTGCAGGTGGGTGCCATGGCCTGTCCGTGCTCGCTGCACCCCTGAGCCCTGTCCTCCGGGCGGGGACGCCAAGCGACCGCATCAGCATGATGCCGGCCGCAATGGCGTCCCTTGCCCCGTGGGCACGGCAGTGTGTTTTGTCGGAATTCAGCCACCTGGCGGCTTTGATCGTTTTCGAGCCGCGAGCCCGCCGCTCGGGCGGCTCGATTCGCCCGCCGGGAGCCCCGAGCGGACGCGGACGGCTCGGGGGGTGTGCACCGCGACTCCACAGCCAGGTGAAAATCACTGGCTGGGGATCCCGCCCTGCACTGGCCCCCCGTTCGCTGCGTTGCACCCCTTTTCGCTGCGTTCCTACCGGGCGATGATCCACCAGGCCCCTGCTGACTCGACCCTGCGTGCCTGCAGGAAATCCGGCGCCGGGCAGGCGACCCCTCCGGAGACACCCCTGAGGCGCGCGCCCGCCTGCTGGAGTGGACCGACGACGACGGCAGGACGCCGTTGGTGGTGGCAGCCGCGAAGAACCACGTGCGCTGCGTAAAACTGGTGAGCGCACGCGGCATCGTTCTGAACAGGGCGCCGCATCCCTCGGGGTGCCTTCTGAGCCTCTTGTTCTGAGTCCCTGCTCGAGAGGGCATTTGCCTTGAGAAAACACCCCCAAGCCCTTGCGCTCGATGCGCGACGCAATCTGTGGCGGCATGCTCACAACCAAAGTGCCGGTTTGCTCCTCAATGTCGGTGTGGCGTCCGTCTGAAACACCCGCACTTTCAGTTCCTCCCCGTCGCTGATGTCGCTGGGGCAATCTCCATCAGGGGATTGGGTTGGCGGAGTGCGGCGCGTCCCCGCGGCCCTTAGAACGCCTCTGAACTGTTTCGGGTGCCCATGTGGCAGCTGCTGGGTTACGGGGCCAACGTGCGGCACGTGAGCCGGAAGAGGGAGGGCGGCAGCGCCCTGCACGAGGCCGTGCAGAAGCAGTGCTCTATGGAGCTGGTAGAGGCGTTGCTGAGCCACCACGCCAGCCCCTTCGTCGAGAACTCCAGCGGCTTCACCGCCCTGGACTACGCCATCGTGCGCAAGGATCTCGCCCTGGTCAGGCGGTTCGAGGAGCTGGGCTCCTTTCGAGGTTACATGAGGTCCAAGGTGAGGCCTAATGAGCACTTGCGCTTCGGGCAACAGACCCGTTGCGTTTGCTGCGTTGTGGCCTGTGTGTAGTTGCACAGCTGAGGGCCATCTATGCTGGTGGTGGTGGCCCTTCTCAAGCTCCTAGCTGTTGTTATCAAGCAGCCACAGCAGCGTTATTGTTTGTGGCTGCATTGTTTCATTTGTCTATTCACGTCTGCAGCGCCAGCAGTGTTATTGGCAATAGGCGTTGTCAGGCTGCTGAATGCCTCACAGACAACACTGCCTGGGCGCCCAGCAGCCCTCTGTCGTTGGAAATAGCCCTGCTGAATCCATCTGCTGCACAAGTGTCTGCTTGTGTAGCCACTTGTCTGAAAGACTGGCAATGCACTTGCACACTTGATGAGCTGTTTGATCGGCTTCTGGAGGTCCATGCACTCACAAATGATCTGCTGTGGTCCTCTTCACAATCAAGACTGATCAAGGCAAATGCGGTGTTGTCAGGTCCTGGCCTGGGGGGGCTTGTCCAGAAACTGGTTTCCTCGGTGGGTGTCGATCGTCCCCCGCTACTCCTACCCCGGGCTCCCAGCGAACGAGCAAGTGATTCGTCGGCTGCTGCTATTCTACGAAAATGACCAGCATGTGGACCCAACCTGCAGAGTGTACCTCGATGGTGCACATGCCACAATTGAAGCTGGCGGCTATGCTGACGAGCGTGTCTGCCAAGTGGTGCGGGACGTTTTCCCTCTGAAACTAATGCCTGCCTTGTTGGAGTTTGGGAGTGGGAGGGAACAGGCACGCAACTTTGTAGATGAGTGCAAGGAAAGTTTCCACAGATGGAATAATGCAGGTATTTGTGGAGTGATGCCATCGTATTTCCACACCTGTGGGCATTACTCATGCTTGAGTTTGCATCTGGGAACACTGGGTATTCATGGCCTTGCATCTGTGAGCACCAGGTCAGCAATAGTTCAGCAGCAGGTTGGAGGAAGACACTTCATCAAATGGAATTTGTGTTGCTCATAGATGTTGCACAGAACCCACCTGAAGCCAAAGGGCCTGTACGTGAGAGGAAACAGCAGCACCGGATACACCTTGTTCCTGAAGAGGCAGCCAAACAATCTACCAAGCCAACAGCAACAAAGCAACTTCCCTACTCTGGAGGCATTTGTTGCCATTGTTAATAGTCAGCAAGCTGGGACCGCCACTCCAACGACTGCAACTGCCACAGCTGGCGCTCCTCCAGGTAGGACAGCTCCTTTCTCCATAGGATGTTAATGAGTGGCCATCTGATGTCCAGATGCTACTGCCACAGTTGGATGTAGCAACACACACCCCAGCGATCAATTGTGGACATGGACATTTCGAACATGCGACCTCTGTAGTGTGTGCTGGGCAAAGTCTGTCTGCCAGTTGTGGTGCATTTGTGTGCCCAGTGGCGATGTTCCCACCAGCCAGTACCATTCCATGGGGTGACAATATGAGGCATTATTAAGTCTGCCTCACAGAATGTTCTTTGTACAGTTGATAGTGAATGCCTCCATGTTTTGCTGGCTGTCCATCAAAAACATGAATGGTCTGGTCAGTGTGGTCTCAGCACTGCCTTCGTCCCTTGCAGGCCAGGATGTCCACCCACTGACTGGAATTCCTTGTCCCTCTGTTGTGCCAGGGGAGTCTGAAGAAGATTTTACAGAACGGTTGAGCTACCAGTTCGACACCGGCATGAGGCTGGACGAAGCAGAGCCCGGCCCCACGCCCCGGAACAATGCTGTGGCATACCCAACAATCATGCCTGCAGGCATGTACCCAGACCCGGGCGCCATATCGCAGGCGCCAGCACAGCCTGTCGGCCAGCAAGCACTGCCCTATCCAATGGCTCACTATCAAGCGCCGCCCCAAAATGCCCCAGCTCAACAGGCGCTGCCGCAACAGGCGCCCCCTTACCAGACACCTACCCCGCAAGCACCCCCTGCAGAGGTCAACCCCTCAGCCCCTCCCCTGCCTGACGCGTACATCCCTTATCCAGCACCCACGGCACCCCCTGCAGAAAAGGCGGCGGCAGTGGAGCCTCCTGCAGCAGAGCTTCCTGCAACAGCACCTGCTGCCCCCAGCGCACCCAGCACATCGCCCAACGATGCTTACAACGATGAAGATGAAGATGAAATTTGTGTAATTTGCCTAGATGCTCCGAAAGAGGCTGGCTTCGTCCATGGTGACAGGTGAGGTGGTGGAGCGTAGGCTGCTGTTTGAAGTCAACTTTGATCGGATTGCTTGACAAAGTTCTGCCCGTGCATGATGGGCAGTGGCAGTGTTTAGCAACACGGACCGGGCTGTTGATTGTTGACCATTTCACACACAACACGTCGTCCAATCTTATCATCACAGTCCAAGCATATGGACAGTGTGACGAACTGCCGTTTGTTGTGATGTGTGTGTCTCCCTGAAACAATCTGGGAACTTGGCAAAAGGCTGTGCCGTTCCAGCCAGTCGTACTGCACACAAGGAATTCAAGGGTTTGCCAACAGCCCATGATGGAAGACATTCTTGCTACCCCTGTTGCCTTCTAGCACCTTGCATAAACAGAGTCGTGTGTTACGCATGCTCTGTGGCACCTTTTCAGCAAGCCCGCGCGCCCTTCACTGGCACAACTGATGTGCGCAAGACCGCGTGCATGTTGCTGTTGCAAGCACATTGCAAGGTCTCGTCTGTTCTGAATTCTGGTGTTTATGACTTGTTTGCTGAACGAGTCGTGTCATGTTTTGCAGTGTGCATCGCTGTGTGTGCAACAACTGCGCGAACAGCATAATGCAGCAGGAACATCCAAAGTGTCCTGTCTGCCGACAGAGAATCGAAACGGTGCTGAAGAAATTTTACTAGATAGTTCACCAGCGTTGAATGGGATTGTGCATGCGGTAACCTGCGCGGGGAACTGCTTGTGACAGGGTGTCATCTTCCTTAGTTTCGAGGATTAGTCAGACAGAGAATTGCTGTCAGTGTAAAGCAGGGCATGGGGCAGGTGTGCAAATGTTGCCTGGGGTGCAGCAGCATTAGTTGACATGGGATGAATGCTTATGTGATTCCTTGGCTTGCCACCACAAGTAATAGACGATTGGGATGTGGGTCCATTCATCGTTATTCTTGATAGCATCTGTAACGATATGCGGCTCCTGGCTGCAGACTGGGGGGTCCGTTCACCCTGTGGCGAAAGGCAGCTTCTATTGTTTGGTGACTGTGGGGCCTCATCTGGTCGAAGTTGGGCAGCTGAGCGAGCGTGTGGCTTCTCCTGTGCGACGGTTTGGATGCCGACGGTCTGAAAGGAGCGCCAAAGACGGCCCAGTGCTCTCAAGGAACTGGCTTGCTCATGCACAGGACCGCGTTGTCTGTGTTTCGCTTGAAGATGCTCTGTCTTCTGCGTTTACGGCCCATCCTGGCTGGAGCTGTCAATTATTAAGGCATGCCCCCGGTTGTTGTCGTTTTGGCTGATGCGTACAACATGCAAACTTCGTTCACAAGAATATATCAGCAATAATGAAGCATGGTATTCATTCCCCGCAGTCCAGCGCAGCACATGCCGGGCATACGAGGGTACTGATATTCAAGGGGTGATTGATGCATGCGCATTAACCTTGTTAAGGATGTTGTCAGCATTCTTCGATGATAACGTCTAGAGAAAAGCCATTACAAATCGTGTGTCCTCGGGCGTGTGTCATTTCTTGCTGACGATCCACGCCGCTTGCACAAAAGCTGAAGCAATATGTCGTTATGGTGATTTACTTGCTAATCTGCGAAAGAAAGGTAACGGATCTGACACTTGCACAAGCGTACACTACGGGATCATAGAATCTGAACGAAATCTTTAGAGAAAACTATCTGATCAACAACGTCTGCGAATCTCCCCGATTCACACAATGCTAATCCGTGCCTACACAGTCTGAAACGCTGATAATGCTGGCAATCGTGTGTCGACACTCCGCTGCTGCATGGAACACGACGCAACGAAGCGACGCTCGCCGTGGCATCCCCAAGCTCGACAACGTTCGAGAACCCCACACGCAGCCTACCGTAGATAGTGCCCAATCGGAAGATAGACGCCCATGCAAGCTGAAGCTCCGATACGCATCTTTCTGCCCATTTGCCGGGCTGCTGGTCTTGCATACGCTGTCGTTCTCAATGCGGCACTTGGACAAGCGCAAAGCCCACCGCCATCGCAGCACACGGCGTCGTCCGCCTTCACTGACTGCAGGGTCGCCCAGCGCCATCACCCCCGTCGTGTTCAGGCGGCGCTAATTCGCTGCCAATTCTCAGAGTGACTGTCGTGCCTTGCCCAAAGGCGCTGTACACGCCGACCAGGCAGTCCGCCCTCTCAAACACCTGGCACGATGGAGCAAACGCGACAATTCAGTGCATTGTTTCGGCGGGTCGTAGATGGACGAGATGTTCACATTCACTATGCAAAAATCCAAGCTCGACATGTGCAGGAAACTGCAAGATCTTGCGGCATACGTTGTTGCATCATTTGGTTCCCCAGAAAATTGAAAGAAGAGTACGGAAAGAAAACGGAAGGACGCAACATATCCCAGGTTCTGATAAGCAATATTGCGGCAAACGGCGTCTGGAAAAAATCCAATATCGCGGATATTCGGGCGGCATATCCTGTATCTATTACTGCTTTTCTGCGGGGACACACTTTGGGATAGAGCACCATTGTGCCGTACCGCGTTGTAGCGTGGCCCAATAATTTGTTGCGGATCATGTCTGCCGTTTGCGTTGATATTAGGTTCCGCTAACCCTGTTCAGCATGGATCCCATTCAAGGATCCACATCTGGCGGCGGCGCCACTTGGCAAATGTCTCAATTGACACCTTACGGACCCAGCCGTTTTCATTTGCTCTATAGCAAAATACTTTGTTACCATATTAATGTGGTTTCAAGGAAGACATGAGTCCGAAAACGGCGACCACTTGAGGCGGCATAAAAGACATGAAGGAGGAAGTGCGGCCACACGATGGCATCCTTTGCTGCAGTGAAGCGGTTGGCAAGGGACTCTAGTAAAAAAAGACCGAATAACACATTTTGCGAACACGTGTATGTGCATTTCACACATGTATGTGCATAAGTGTTCTGCACGCTAAGAACACAAAAACAACACAAACACGTAAACTTTGTACACGTTCCAAAACATGTTATTTGGCCCTTTTTTCCTAGTGGGAGTGTTTCAAAATGAGTGTATGCGAAGAAATGCCCAGATAAATGCGGAAGGTATGCCACGGCCCATACGTCGCTCGCCTCTTCAAATGAATACAAAGTGCTGCGGCCGTGGTACCTGGGGCTTGTGACTGATGATGAGGTACTGCGCCGTGCTTTGCTGTTGGACGTACGCCGCCACCCTTTCCGCATTGAGGGTGTCCAGCCCGCAGTCAATTTCATCGAAGAAATAGAAAGGAGAGGGAAAGGCCAACTGCAGGGCGAAGGACAGCGCCAATGTAGCCAGTGCCTGCTGGCCGCCGCTCAGGGACACAAACGGACGCCATTGCAGACGGTCGGGCCTGACCAACAGTGCGGCATCGCAGCATCCATTGAAGGGAGCGGTGAGGACGGCTGGCGATGAACAACGCAACAGCTAAGAAAGGAAGCCCAGGAAATACGAACTCGGCACGGAACGGCTTTCTGCATGCCTCGCTTGAAGCCGCGTGCATTCTCGGGCTGATATTCATATTTTCATGAAAGTATTTCATATCATCAACCCTAGAAGCGACAATGGCAAATTCGGTCTCTTCATCCAATTTGTGGATGTCATTTGAAAATTCATTTCTTTGAATTCCCCAAATGTGAGTGCTTTTTGTAATGGTTTTCAATCAATAAAACTGTGTACTCTTCCATGCTGTGCGTTTGTTTGGGATGCATCGCGCCAGCACAGTTGCTGCTTGCTCCTGCCACGTAAAACTTGAAATTTCGTCCCATTCGCGAGCCTACACGTGCAACGGTGCGACCATAGCCTGACGAAAAACATCATTCGTGTATATCGTGGTCATCGCCGCCGCTTGTGGCTCCGTCTTTTCCTCCCCCGGATTTCAAGCACATCGGCATTGCCGCCAGCATCGAGGGTCTCCACCACCGCATTGAAGTGAGCTCGAAAATCGTTGTCGAGTACATGGCGCAGACAGTGTCGCAAGCTCCATGGACTCGTGGGTGGAAGGGCAAGTGACCATCACTGTATGAAGTTGCTTTGTACCGGTACCCCACCTGACGTTGAAGCTCACGCCCTCCGTGAACAGCATCCTCTTTTCCTGTGCAAAACTGCAGTACGCGTCCCCTTGATCCACGGTGAGGAAGCGGTACACTTTGGACAGTCTGCCATCCAAGAACCGGTAACCGTTATGCTTTGCTGCTCAAACCGTTTGCATCGCACTGAGATGGTAAATGCCATCTCCAACAACACTCCTATCTTTGCCATTGCGAACAGCGTACACAGTTCGATGTTTTGCCTTGCCACTTGCTTCCGAGCTTTCAAGTTTTATGCAATTGAAGATAATCACGTGACAAGCGTGAGGTGTTTGCACGCATGTATGCAATTGAAGATTCCATATACACAAGGCAGCAAATTTGAAGTCTGTCTTGTTGCACATGCGTGTTGAATAATGAGTTTTGGGCAGGCGAACTGATATGTCATTGCATTTTTCCACAATCGAAGTGATTTGAAACACTTGATTGACTGCCTTTACATTTCCAACAGTTTTCGTTTTGCATATGTTCAAATGAAGGCAACGAATCATGTCTTGTACCATATCGTTTGGCAGACCATATGCTACGCACATATGATGAACGTATTAGTCGCAGATACGTTAATGCAAATTCTCATTTGAGGAAAGGACAGCACTCAATATATGTGTTTCTTACTATAATTTTTCTTCAGGTTTATGAAGGTCCAGTTTTGCATCTCAAATACATACGCAAGCAGAATTGAACTTCATTGCTGTGCGAGGGCCAGAACCTTGTGTTAACCATTCTCATTGCAGACAGAAACTTTTCATAACGCTCAGACTCCAAAGTGTCCCTTTCACATGTATCTTTTTCAATGTCTTCTTTCAATTGAAGCATTTTGTCTTCTGTTTCCTTGATTGTCTGAAGTACTTCAACATCTTCATCTACCGCTTGCAAATCGATAGATCTATAAAGATACTCCAATTGACGTTCTTCTCTGGCCAACGATGCCGCCTCGCGTTCGATTGATTCTGCGTTCAGGTCGCGTTCGTCGTCACTGTCGGATTCAAAATCCGAAGAGCATCTGTGAAAGAGCAAAGAGACACAAATTGGAAGTGCCATCTCGGAACGGGCTGCGCAGTAAATTCAAACACACTGCATCAGAATCTACCTGGTGAATGGATTTGACGCCTGCGTGGAAAATCAGCTGCTCAAATGATCATTTACATCAGTTGCTGTACGTCACTAGTGAGCACGAAATTTCTCATTGAGCATCAATCTGAATGAACTCACAGAGAGAGTCCAGGCATTGATTCGCTCTGCTGCGTCAAATGTACCTCCTACATACTTTACAGGTCAAAGGGGGTAATGAACTGATTTGCAATAGCAGGATGTGCTTGAATGCAGCGCACCCGTCACTTTCGAAAGCACCGTTCGGTTTCTCCCTCCCCGCAGTAGTTACTCCTATGCCAAGCTCATTGCCTCTGCTCCTTGTCCCGACTCTGGGGTGCTGTGGTGAGCACTCATTTCCCGATCGGGGAGATCCACCTTCCTCTTTAGTATCTGTCTGGCATTGTGTCCTGCCTTTGGCCGCTTCGCATGTTCTGCTGAGGTTCCCTGAGCTCGAATCATCACGACTTCTCTGTTTAATCACTTCTTTGAGGCCAAGAAGAGCCTCATCAACTCTCTTCGCTTTAATCTCTAGCTCGCAAATCCTCAATTCCATAACTGCCTTTACTGAATTCATCTCCTGTAGGTTTGAGAGAATGCCCCTTTCTTTCTCTTTCAACTGGCTCAAAACTTTGGTGCAGGCAGCCAATTCTGCAGATGCAGCTCTCCTGGCTTCCCTTGTTTCATTCAGTTTGTTGGAAGCTACGCCCCTGGATTTCTTAAGGCGTGCTTTCTGAGATTTCAAATCATCCTGCACCTTCGACTCCGCTGCAAATGCGTCGAGGCGGCCTCTGCATGCTGAAATTTGCTTTCGAGTTTGGCGCAGCCCTTCCTCCAATGCCTTGTACTGCTGCTCCTGACAGTGCATCTTCGAATGCAATTCATCGAGCTCACCTACCGCGGAAACCAGCTCACGTTCTCCCTCAACATGCCTGCCGGCGGCGTGGAATGTCTCCATCTCCCTTTCAATATGGGCCTCAATTTTCAAGCTTTTCGGCGCTTTGTCAGCCGATGCGAGAAGACACTCCAGATATTCTTTTTCCAAAAGCACTCTACGATGCAAGCCCTTCAGGCGGTCTCCGTTCATTAAGGAAGTTTTGGATGCCTGGATGTCCCGCTCCAGCACTCTCATCTGTTTCTCTAGACTATCCAGACTCTGCGTACGTGATTCCATGGATTTTTCCAGCAATGTCAGTTGCTGCCTAGCATCTTCCATCTGAGCCTGTGTTTGCTGAGATGCGTCTATTTTCTTGGGCTTGAGTTCTTGAGGCTGTTGTGGTTTCCATTTCGACACTGAGTCAAGACGGCAAGCGCTCATTGTCAGGCAATACTTTCCCGAGTCAACTGGAGATTTCACCGCCCCAAGTATCTCCCCATCTGATTTGAACAGTTCCCCTTGCCTGCAATACAGTGTAAAAGTGTTTTTTAGCCGCGATGTCAAGGCGCTCTTACGGAAGCTGAAGAAACATCTTGAATGCAGGAACAGCCCATCCCGCGCCTTCAGACTGAAATCTGCAAGTCCCAGTTTCTGTCACCATTTTTTAGTATAACTGACGCAAGCGCACAACTTTTGAGCATACCTCGTAACAATATTGGGTGCAAACGAAGCTCTGCCACCCTCTGCTCGGCTCCATTCTCGCACCATCTCCACCGCTCTGTCTCTGTGCTCCGCAAGCACCCAGTTCCCCAGGAGTCTGTGGAACACTTTTTCCAATCCGGCATTGCTCGTCGCCACAAGGGAAGGCAATTTCAAGCACTTCCCGCAATCGCTTCCATGTCCGTCCGTCCTGCTGCCAGCCTGACGGCCTGGTGGCTCAGGCAATTCTGACAGGATCTGGCACGTGGCCATCCCGATCTTGTTTCTGGCGAAGAATTGCAGAACTCTGTGGGCGGTGTTCCGATCCGACACCGTGAGGCAGTTCCGCAGGTTTGTGGCATCCGCGAGCGCTGCATTGACGGCCACGACATTGTCGGGATTTGGAACAAAGCTGAAGTTGGAAAGGCGCCCGTAGAATTGTCCTCCAAGCTGATCGCTCTCGCTGAGGAACTTGAGGTGGCCGATGGCGTCATCGAGAGCGCTTATCCCAGTGCTCGAGGGCAGGCTTCGATCCAGCGCATGCCTGGAAATCTCCAGTTTAGCCTGAAGTGCGCCACAGTTACGGTGAAGCACTGCAGTGGGAGCCCACAAATCCTGTCTGTGACATAATATGGCGCAATTAAAATGTACAGGAACTGATATGATTGTCCTTTTTCTGCGTGCCCTTTGTTGAAGGTGAGATGCGGACACAACATCACACCGTTGATATGCAATCAGTAAAGTGTGGCACTATTTTGAATTTGTGCCCTTTGCGTCAAATGGACGCTGAAGGGGAATGTTACAGCATTTGGACGCTAAGGGTTTATGTAATTACACTAAAATCAAACAAGGTAAAGTCTTCAAAAAAGTCCTTATAATGGATCAATTCAGAGATTTTAAAGCTGCTCCTATGCAATTGGCAATTGCATGCCATGGCTTTTAGCATCCGGTTTTGTATTCTTCTACAATAGGTACAACTCTGACTCTCATTCTCCTTAAAAGAAACATCCTAAAGGTGTATCGCACTATTGGGCAATGTTCCCTAGTCAACTTGGCATCGAAATGAAGATTGCAGTTAGGGGTAGGGGTGGGGGTGGGGTGGGTAAAATTCGTGAATTACATGCAACCGAGATCACATCCCTCCCGACGCTTACGGGAGATATAGGTAGGAAGGGCGTGGGGTGGGGTGGGGGGTGTCTGCTCTTAGTCCATGTGCAAATAGTGTCTTCCCTTAACGGCAGCGACATTCGGGCAGTGCAATATGGCAGCAAAATTCCGCTCATTGGCAATCCATTGGATTTATTTTCGTTTCCTTTACATGCTGCAACTGCTGAGAAAAGCTCCATGACCCATCTTGATTTTAGGATTCAATTTCCGTAGATCGTATTTTCACAATAGGGCATGCCGTTGGGCAAGCACCGCAGCACATGATGGAAGGAATAGTGAGATTTTGTTGATTGCCGTAATGTGGTGGCTCAATTCTTCGTCTTATAGGTCCTTATACCGAAAAAGAAGATGTCTCTGGCCGCGTTGAAACACTGAATTTAAGAGAAATCAGTAATGAACATAGCGAATCTGTAAATAAAGTCCTATATTATAGGCAGTTTTTTGTTGCCTGTGTCACAGACATATTCCTAGTGAATGACTGATCATGATTCAACGGACCAACGCAAGCCTTACGAATCATTGTTTTTTCATGCTCGATGAGCGTCTGTTGAAAAGCAAAGATTGGGAGGATTCGAGGCGGCACATGCCTCGCAAACTTTGAGTGGAGCTCAACGCTGAGGGGGCAGGACAGCAGCCATGGCGAACAAAGAAGACGATCTGGATCTGGAAGATGACCCTTGCGGACCGACAATATGGGAAAGCGCGGTAGGCAAAACTGAGGATGGGGTTCAACATGCTGTACGAAAAGCACCTCCGAGCATACCAACGGTCGCGTTTGGTTCAAGCGTTGTGGGTGCAGGTCGAGGCTCAAGTTCCAGAGGACGCCTGGGAGTACCACGTCAGGAAGGCTAACAACGACGCGGCATACAGGACCCTGTCATACAAGCCCTACTGCTCCACAATGCCAGTTCAGCCCGAATGCGAGGATCCCAAGTTCATATGGGTGCGCACGTCTATGCTGGGAACTTTGGCAGTCGGGGTGCCCGTTGGGCTACCTCGCTGGGGCATCACGCATCGAGACCTGGTCAAATGGTGCTGCCCTGAACACATGTGTGCTGTAATGGCAGACCAAGAAGGAGAAATGACTATGCTGAGATCAGCGACCGCGATGGTTTGGTGACCGGTGCTGCTGTTGGAAGCATACTGGAGAAAATCAAGAAGGATTTTGGAGGAGGGATCCACCCAGGCAAAATACTTTTGAAGGCTATAAACTTTTTCCCAGCATCTTTTTTGCCGCCAAGCGTAGCTTGAGGCATTCAGATGGGGGTCCCAGCTCGGTGATGACTTTGGCGGTCATTGTTTTGCACAGTGTCGATTCAAGTCCCACATAATAACATCCATTGTCGCCTCCGAAATGCAATTAGCTGACTTCTAAGATGACATTCACATCCTGTAATTGATTTTTGGCCAGCATGATTACTTTTACATATTAATTTGGATCAGAGGAGCTGCAGCGTTTCATGGTAATAGTAGGGAGCAATGCGCGAAAGTCGCTGCAACAAACGCTCATCGTTTTGTTGCTTGGATACGCGAATAAAATTGAGCTAAAATTGTGTAAAGTCGCATATAAGCACAATGATACTACACTCGGTTTGTTGTTCCCAACTGAATCAATCAACGCATGTGGGCATTCCGAAAATGGCAATGTACTGGGAAGTTTTGGTCGACGATTATCTTGTATTGGCTTCTATCACTTTGATCAATAAAATCATAGAGTTCTTTGCTTGTTACAAAACTGGTTTTCACCATTTACCTTGCCCGGATCCTTGGGATACACTGTATCACGTGCATTGAAACTTTGTCCATATTGCCGACAGGCGACACACTACATGCTCCTTGCGATACAGCGCGGTGACTATAGTGCTGTCAACTAGACATTTGCCACAAATTCGGTGCTTTATGCTGGCTCATTCACTTGTAGAAAACGGCATGTTTGCGATGCCAACTGTGATGCCGTTTTGACACAAAATGATGCCATCGCAGTGATTGCGATGGCATAAAAAGTGGCTGTGATGGCATCATTTTGTGTTAAAATGGCATCGCAAGCATGCTGTTTTCTACTAGTGATTGTTCCATGCCGTTGCCATTGGTCTGGGGATGAACAAAATTTCCTTGTTTGTAACGATTTGTTTTCCTGGATTCGTGGCATTTGCCACAGTGAATGCTCACTG